TTTTTTTGGAGATGGAGTCTCGTTCTGTTGCCCAGGCTGGAGTGCAGTGGTGCAATCTTGGCTCACAGCAATCTCCGCCTCCTGGGTTCAAGCAATTCTCCTGCCTCAGTCTCCTGAGTAGCTGGCATTATAGGCGTGCTCCACCGCGCCCAGCTAATTTTGGTATTTTTGGTAGAGACAGGGTTTCACCATGTTGGTCAGGCCGGTCTTGAACCCCTGACCTCGTGATCCGCTCACCTTGGCATCCCAAAGTGCTGGGATTGCAGCTGTGAGCCACCGTGCCCAGCCTGGTGGTAAATTTAAACAAAATAGACAGTTCACTAAACACCTTTCCTCTGAGTTCCTATCTTATAGTGTAGTTCTCAGTCAGGGGTGCAGGTGGGTTTCTTCCCTGCCAAGCTGAGAAGGAAGGACCCTTTTCCAAGTACATACCCCAATGTAGGTACTTTTTTCTAATTTGTACAATGACTCTGTTGGAGCCAGTAGTGGCCTTGTCTGATCCCACCTCTGTACAACCACTGTCATCAGATATTTATTTATTTATTTATTTTTGAGATGGAGTCTCACTCTGTCACCTAGGCTAGAGTGCAATGGTGTGATCTCAGCTCACTGCAGCCTCCATCTCCCAGGTTCAAGTGACTCTCCTGCCTCAGCCTCCCAAGTAGCTGGGATTGCAGGGATGCGCCATCATGTCTGGCTAGTTTTTGTATTTTTAGTAGAGATGGAGTTTCCCATGTTGGCCTGGCTGGTCTTGAACCCCTGACCTCAGGTGACCCACCTACCTCGGCCTCCCAAAGTGCTGGGATTACAGGTGTGAGCCACTTCACCTGGCCTTCCCTTAATCTTTATCAATTTTACTTAATATGCTTCTCAGTAAGGCAAAACCATTAAGAGTATATACTACCAGGCCATAGATTGGTGACATTGTCAGTTCTGGAAATTTTGTAGCTGTTTCCTGTCTTCTGTAACTCTTCTCCCACGATCTCTATGTCTCTAAGTCCACCTCTTTGTCTCTGAGATGTATTCTGGATAATTTCTTCAGAGGTGTCTTCTAGCCCACAAATTTCTCTTCAGCAGAGTGTAATCTTTTAACTCATCCACTGTGTTACTGTTTTTCAGTTATGATGTTTTAGCTTTTAATTCTCTTGGTTATTTTCCTCGAGTTTTGCTCTTTGACTTTATTTTTAGTCTTTTTTTTTTTCTTTTATTTCTTTAAACAATAAACCTAGTTTCTTTGTGAGTTTGATTGTTCTGATGTGTTAAGTTCTTGGGAATCATATTCTGTTCTTCCTGCTGGCTCCCATGGTGCCTCGTTTTCTTGTTTTACTCTAAGCTCATGTTTTGAGTTCTTGATATAGTTGGTTTCTTTTTTTTTTTTTTTTTGAGACGGAGTTTTGCCGTTGTCGCCCAAGCTGGAGTGCAATGGCATGATCTTGGCTCACTGCAACCTTAGCCTCCCATGTTCAGATGATTCTCCTGCCTCAGCTCCCGAATAGCTGGGATTACAGGCATGTGTTACCTCACCAAGCTTGGATTACCCAAACTCTTAAAGCATTTTTTATTTTTCAGTGAGAGACTCTACCTGGGTATTTAACCTTCCGTACAGTGAGGAAAGAAAGCCATTTTGTTATTTACATGCTAGTTACTCACTCTTCTCAAGGCTTTCCACATATTCTTTATTGTGTATAGTTTTTAAACTTGGTTATTGTATACCAATGTGTTTATAATATACGTAAAGAAAAAAAAATAAATTAAAGATGCACAGCTCAATAATTTATCACAATCCAAAAATTTATGTAACCACAACCCAGAAATCTTCAAGAAATAGAACATTGCTATCCTCTCTGAACACTACATAAAGATTTTGTATAGTCTATAGTCTTTTGAGGCTGACTTCTTTTCGCTCAGCATTATGTTTGTGAGGTTTATTCACGTTGGGTAGAACCATAGTTTATATATTTTTCATTGCTAAGTGGTATTCCATTTATACCACTTAGCAATGAAATTTTCCATCTACTTTTGATAGGGATTTGAGTTCTGACTGTCACAAATAATGTAGCTGTGAACATTCTCCTGCTTGTCTCCTGAACTCTACTTGCCCCACGCCCTGGCATCCACCTTCCTGTTGGCTATGTTTGCTGTTTTCCAGCAGAATTGTTTGTTGGAGATTTTTTCCCCTCCTAAGCTTTTAAAGTACTTTCGTTTTGGGCTTCTAAGTGGCATGATAATAACTACATTTTTTAAAATTACTAAGCTTCATTTTTTAGAGCAGTTTTAGGTTTACAGGAAAATTGAGCAGCAATGACTACATTTTTACAATGAAAACTTTCTCGTAGACTTCCACTCATTTAAAACAACTTAAATGTGTGAATTGCTTTAACAGCTCTTCGACATTACTGAGTTATGATGTTATTTTTTGTAGTTAACTAGGGTAGGCATAAAGTAGCATAAGTGACGTTTCTTTGATAATTGGCTGTGTTTTTCATATATTTGTTTACTAATTGTATTTCCCTTGTGTGTGAATTGTTTACATCTCTCTTCTCTTTGAATTCCTTTTTTTTTTGGTTAATGTTTTCCTGGTTATGAAATGGAATACTGGTTTATTCATTACAGAAAATGTAAATGATAGAGAAAAGTATAAACTTAGCTCATTTATAGAACAATCATTTGAATACCAGATACCGTATTTTAGTATTTTTTAACAGTTTAACCTCATCAAAATTGAGTGTACTTCAATGTTTTTCTCTCCTTCTGCAAATGAACATCATGTTTAAATATATCTTCAAGATTGTCTATAAAAATCACTAAAATGTAATCAAATTGACACCTTCTGTTACAGTTCTGTTCTCCTACTTCCTGAGTCTCACACGTGTACTTATTTTTAGGGACTTGCTGACCCTCTGTGCTTTTTGTGTCACTCAGAAGCAAATATTGATCCTTAAACACATAAAAATTCTCGTGAAATCCAAAAAGCAGGGGAATGTACAGTCCGTGTGTTGCTTTTTTTCAAGCCAATCTTGTTTTCCTGAGACTGCTTTCCTTACCATTAGTCTCTGGACTCCTAGGGCAATGTTAATTCCACAAGTAAACTAAAATGTTAATGGAAACTGGAAATAAGGCCCAAAGCTGGGTTGAGCAGCCTGGGATTTTGTTGTAGCTCAGTCTCAGTTGCTTTATTTGTGTGTCTTTCAATGGCCTTCAAATGGAACCATCTGGACATTTTAAGCAGGAAGGGCCTGTGGAGAACCACATGGCAGGTAATCTACTCTGGCTGGTTAACTTAGACCTTTCACTCACACGGGGTCAACTTCAGTTGGATGAAGGCAGCAACAGCTATCTAAGGGTTGAAAGGTTGGAGTACAGCTGGGTGCGGTGGCTCACGCCGGTAATCGCAACACTTTGGGAGGCCAAAATGGGCGGATCACGAGGTCAGGAGATCGAGATCATCCTGTTTAACACGGTGAAACCCCGTCTCTACTAAAAATACAAAAAAATTAGCCAGGCGTGGTGGCAGGTGCCTGTAGTGCCACCTACTCGGGAGGCTGAAGCGGGAGAATGGCATGAACTTGGGAGGCGGAGCTTGCAGTGAGCTGAAATCACACCACTGCACTCCAGCCTGGGCAACAAAGCGAGACTCCATCTCAAAAAAAAAAAGGTTAGAGTACTAGCCTGGCTTACTTTGCAGGAGTGCCTTCTTTAGATCTGCTAGCATGTCAAATCAGCTTAAGCATGACATCATATGAAGAGGTGGGCAGATTGAAGTCTGACAGGCTTCCCCACTGCTTTTGCCTCAGGGTGCAGATATTAGAACAGAGGCTACCACTTGTTTCTGTCCTTCATTTGTCCTGTCCTTTCTTTGTCCTTCATTTTCTGGGCCTCCAAATATCACTTAACCTCCAGAACAGTTCTGTTGTTAAGCATAATGAAGGGATTAAACTAGAAATGAATTCTTACAGTTTATAGTGAGAGCTTCTGATTTCTGCCATGTGGAACTTCGTATCTGTAGCATTTCAGTGTTTGAAGTTCTTAGTATTGTTGAAAATATAAAATGAATTGGGGAGAGATGAACCTCTCAAACATGTTTGTTTTTTCAAGAAATCATATCTGCTGTTCCACCTGTATTTCATGTAGAGGTGTACTTATGTATCATGTACTTAAGAAAACATGTGAACACAGACCATTTTAAAGCTAGTTCGTGTCTGGTTTGTCGCCACGTTAAATATGCACATGTAATGAGTTGTCTAGAACTCAGGACTTTCCCTACAGACAGGATTTTTGCTGGTGGCTAATTCTCAGGTCAGCCTTCAAAGGTTTGCATAACCTCAGTGCACACCAGTGAATTCTAGGATGGAGAATTACCACTGATTACAATGGTTTTAAAGGAAAATGTACTCTGAATTCTTGTCTCCCTCTGTAATAGGAGGAGTTTCCTGCTTTTTTTGCTCTCTTTGGGCCTCTAGTGTTGTGTTCCATAGACTGGGCAGGCTGTGGTGGTAGGGAAGCAGGGAGCTTAGAGACAAAAAGTGTATGGGACTCCCAGAAGTAATGGCAAAAGGAAATGCAGTGAGATGTCAGGATGAGCGAGAGCACTTTGATATGGGTCCCCGGCGGGGGTTGCAGAATAAACGAACCTGTGCAAACCAGTCCCCAAACACTGGCACCTGGGTGAGAAAAGGAGCCAGAGCTGGGCACTTTTTCTCTGCCCTCTTTCTGCCAGACCTCCTGTCCTACTGTTATAGGCCTTACTATTGACATCTGGCAAAAGAGAATCAGTAGAAAGGAGGTGTGTGAGAACTGCAGGTATAGCACCTAGGGGTTCATCCTAGGAATTGACTGGAGCAAGAGAAAGAACAGAGAAAAGGGGAAGTCCCCATTAACCTCTGAGCAAAGGAACTTCCTTGCTACTGAATGTGGCTAGAGCTGTACCCCACTCACTCTGTCTTCACTACTGTGCAGTCATTCCAAGGTGGTTGTCTGATTTGACTGTGAAGAGCCTGAATAGTTAACATTTGTTGGGTCTGGGTGGTGATACGTCAGTGTGTGTTATCTCACTCTATATATCCTTACTTTGGAAGTATTTCATGATGATAATAGACAAAGCTAATGGGTTTGGTGTGAAGAGTGTCTGTTCGTAGGAAAACATGGTCTATTCATCAGTCTAGCTTAACAGCTAGCTAAATAAACCGAGTATAACTCAGTGGCTCATAGAGCTTTATATTACTGTAGAGATTTATGTTACCAGAGGGGTATAAAAAGTATTAATGAATTAACAGAAGATCTTTTATATTTCATTTATTTATTTCATTTCTTAGCAGACTGTTTTTTACTGTAAATGTGAATAGTTTTCCACTTCTTACTTGTTCATAGTTTTCTTGACAAAGAATAGCTACTTTTCTTACAAATTTTCCAATTTTGAAGTTTAACCAATAATAGTTTCAGTGACTTCATTACATTAACACCTAACTGATACATAAACTTCAGAGGAGTTTGCCTTAATCAGTATGTTCATTGCTTTTTAAATTTTTTCTCTTCCACAAAGATAGGAATTCAATGCACTTGTTTGTTTATTTATCTGTTTAATTTTTCTGGGCTGCACACATCTTAATTTCTTGATAGGCCAGTTGTAATGTGTGATTAAGGACTATATTCTTCAAACATTGCATTTGAAGCAATGGGCGAGTGTGGGATTTGGAAGCAGTATGAAAGTAACATCATTTGTTTTTGCGGACTTTGTAATTTTCTTCTGGAAATCCCAGATTATCCAAAGAGAGAAGATAGAATCATCATAAATCCCAGTAGCAGTCTGCTGGCCAGCCAGGATGAGACAAAGGCAAGTGTCGTGTTCTTGTTTTGCAGTCGCTACCTGGAAATGCCCTGGTTTGTTGTTGTTGTTGTTGTTGTTGTTGTTGTTATCTGTATGGGAAGAAAGTGCTTTGTTGGGACAAGTTTTTAAAGACTAGCAGAGGGACATAGGATTTCAGAATATGTCTATACTTCAGTGCGATCTCCCATTCTGAGCCACTTTGAATTCTGTCTTTAACTTCTATCTTTCCTTGTAATTCTTATCTTCCTTTTCCCACAAAGAATTAAACGAATCCTCCATATCTTTAATCCTGCAAAGCAAATTCCAAGAATTGGCCAGGACACTAACATTTTATTATGAAAATTTTCAAACCTACAGAAAAGTTGAAATATTTTACGTCGATCACCTATATCCCTACCACTGGTGCTACTAGAAAGTTAACAGTTTACTCTGTCCTCTTTATCATACATATGTCCTTTGTCTGTCCAGCAGCACATCTTTGTTATGTTTCATTTCATTATAATGCATTTCAAAGTAAATTGCAAAAACATCAGTACACTTCCCTGTAAATACGTCAGCATGCAGATCATTACCTAGAGTTGAATATCTTTTTTCTTTTAATGTGAGATTTGTATACAGTGTATACTATACATCTGTTTAACCAGATCTCATATCAAGATGTAAAGAGTTTGGTTTTTAAAAACTTTAATCATTGTCATTATTTGTGATCCAAACTGGCATTTAGTGTATTATATGGTAAAGTATGGTTGAGAACTAACTTTATTAAGATCTGTTGCTTGATCTTCCAACTCCCCATAGATTCTTTGATTATATCTCTTACATATTCTATAATAGAAAAAAATAGTTGTTTGTAAATATGTTATGGAAGGAAGATGGCTGAAATATTGGTTTAAATCCTCAACTATACTTCTTTACTAGTTATAACTAGTAAAACTAGTCTGTCGACTCCAGACAGGTTCGTTTAACCTCTCTGAGCCACCATTTTCTCATCTTTCTTATAGGGCTGGTAACTTCCTTATAGAGTAATTAGAACAAACGTTATTCTTTTCTACACATGTAATTCCTAAAATGATTTCCCTTACATGGGAAATGTACTGCCTGGCCTCTGATTTTATGCTTCTCTCTCGTTTCAGTTGCCTAAAATAGACTTTTTTGACTATTCTAAATTGACTCCTCTTGACCAGCGCTGCTTCATCCAAGCTGCTGACCTCCTCATGGCAGACTTCAAAATGCTCAGTAGTCAGGACATCAAGTGGGCGCTGCATGAGCTCAAAGGACACTATGCAATCACCCGAAAGGTGCTCTACTTGGTCTTCCTCTTGGGGTCACACCTCTTGGCTACATCTTCCCATGATAACAGAATGAACAGTCCAGCTTGTGGAAATTGGGATGGTTTATGATTGCTAAGGAGTTAGGGTGAAGATAAATAGGTATTTGCTGGTCATGAAGGGCTAAATGAAAAGAAATAATAGATAGATGAGAAGCAGAGAAGCTCTAGTTTGACCATAAAAACATGGAGGGTAATACATTCTACTGTGGAATGCAGGAGTATGAAAGATGCGTTCTAATCCTGCTCCGTCCTGATTTGCTTTCCGACTTCGGATAGGTCACACGACCATCCATCCCCCAGATGTCTCAGTTATCAGTGATAGGACGTAAGGTCTGTAAAGAGTCCGGGAACAAGAATGGGCAGCTACTGACAGCTCCTAGCATTTTCCCCCAGGATCCTAAAATAAATAGCACTTAAAGGCCTTTGTTAAGGGTGAGAAGGGTGCTGGTTCGTGGTAGGTAACACAGACATCTTCCATGAAGGACAGCACACGGTGCCCGCTTTGTAGCTGTGGCCAGAACAGGAGTGCATGCACTAGCAGAGACCTTGGCTTACTCCTCTTGGTCGCTCTTACTGCCATTAAATTCTATTCTACTGAAATTCTTGTGATTCTCAGCAAACACTGTAATGTTTCTTTTGTCCAAAGGACAAACGTGGAATTATCGTAGTGGTTAAAATACTCATTGGGTTTTACCTGTAGGAAGGGAAGAACCAAGCTGAGGACTGTGGCTCATGCTGAGGTAGGCCAAGCCCCTTCCACCTTTTTTTTTTTTTGAGATGCAGTCTCGCTCTGTCACCCAGGCTGGAGTGCAATGGCGCGATCTTGGCTCACTGCAGCCTCTGCCTCCCCAGTTCAAGCGATTCTCCTGCGTCAGCCTCCTGAGTAGCTGGGACTACAGATGCTCACCACCACACCTGGCTGAGTTTTGTATTTTTAGTAAAGATAGGGTTTCACCATGTTGGCCAGGCTGGTCAGCAACTCCTAACCTCAGATGATACGCCTGCCTCAGCCTCCCAAAGTGCTAGGATTACTGGCATGAGCCACCGTGCCCGGCCAAAAAAAGACTGAAAGAAAAATAGAGGGGTTTTGAAAGGGTAAAATAGGAGGCAACCTAAGGTAGACCAAGGGTCTCCAGAAGGGCCTCCCTGAGCAAGGAACATTTAATCACAGACCCAAGTAGGAGTTTGGTGGAAGATGTTGGTATCATTTGTTGGGGTGAGAACTAGTATAAACATCTGCTTTGGAGGGAAATAATCATGAATTCAGTCTGGGAAACACTGGTTGCCAGTGTGCTGAAAAGGGCCTGTGAGACATCTAAGTAAAAATAATTCACTGGAAGGTTGAATGGACTAAAAAGTTTGGAAAATACAGACTGTAGAAAAGTTTTTAGGTTTCTGTGTGTGTGTGTGTGTGTGTGTGTGTGTGTCTCCTTGGGTTTTATGGTGATAGGACTTTGAGAGTCATTAGCATATGGAAAATCTCACCAGCCAGGATGAGGTACCCAGAGATATCAGGTGAGAAGAGAGGACTGGTGACATGTGAAGAGCAAGCGGAGGAGGCAGGCAGACAGGAAGGAGGAAGTTGTGAGACTGGAGCAGTCTGTATTATCATCATCATCATCATTGTTATTCTTGTTTAGTAACAGGGTCTCTCTCTGTTACCCAGGCTGGAGTACAGTGGCACAATCATGGCTTATTGCAACCTTGACCTTCTGGGCTCAAGCCATCCTCCTGCCTCAGCTTCCCATGTAGCTAGGAGTGTAGGTGCATACCACCACACCTGGATGATCTTTTTATTTTGTTTTTTGTAGAAATGGGGTCTTGCTAGATTGTGCAGGATGGTCTTGAACTCCTGACCTCAGGCTGTCCTCCCGCCTCAACCTCCTAAAGCACTGGGATGCCACCATGCCCAGCCTGTTATTAAATACTGCTAAGAGATTGTGCAAGATGAGGACTAAAATGCAGATGGTAGACTTGTAGACTTGGCCACTCAATAATAAGCATAGATTAGTAAGTGCAAAGGCAGGGTAGATGCCAGATTAGAGACAGCTGGAAAGCTTGTGGTCATAAGGGTAAGGTGGTGAAACAGAAGATAAACAGCTCCTTTGATAAGTTTCTCTACAAAGAGGGGAAGAAGAAAGAGGGGCTGGCATTGAAAGAGAGATGAGATCACCTTCTCAACACTGCCACACTGGGGATTAAGTTTCAGCAGGAGTTTCAGACAAACATTGCCATCATAGCCACCCCCCTTCTCATGCCGCCCAGGCTTGGACCCCAGCCTGCCCTGCATCCTAACAGCGTAGCCACAGGACATGAGCCCCAGGGCCTCCTACCCCCTGCCACACTCAGGAGTCCCACCCGGTCTTCCTGAAAGGTTCCCACTCTTCCTTCTCTTCCAGGCAGAATGGCCCTACCTCATACACCCCTCCTTCCTGTTCAAATCAGGTACCCCTTCTGTGTCCCTTTTTTAGGATGGCAAAGACTTGAGCCCTTTTTTTTTTTTTTCCCCAGGCAGAATCACGCTCTGTTGCCTAGCCTGGAGTGCAATGACACGATCTCAGCTCATGCAACCTCCGCTTACCAGGTTCACCGATTCTCCTGCCTCAGCCTCCCAAGTAGCTGGGATTACAGGCGCATGCCACAACATCCAGCTAATTTTTTTGTATTTTTAGTAGAGACAGGGTTTTGCCATGTTGTCCAGGCTGGTCTCAAACTCCTGACCTCAGATGATCCATCTGCTTCAGCCTCCCAAAGTGATGGGATTACAAGCATGAGCCACCCTGGGCGTGAGCCTCCCTGACTTGAATGCATTTAAATCCTGATAAGCAAAATCTAAGAGGGAGAAGCTGAAGGTAGGAAAGAAAAGGGATCCTCACCAGTGGAAGGATTTTATACTTCAGCATCCTGTCCAAGGGTGGGGTGGATATAGGTACACGCAGAGAAGAGCGTGGGGGAAGCAGGTTAGGGGAGAGTAAAGAGGAGCATTAACCAGAGAAACAACATGGAAGATTTACCTACAGAATGGAACTCACCAGCCCATTGTGTGATTTAACCTGTACTTATTCAAGGAGAGCTTGGACAGTTTTGTTTTATTTGAGACAGGGTCTCCTGTGTTACCTAGGATGGAGTGTAGTGGCACAATCATGGCTCACTGCAACCCTGCCTCTCAGGCTCAAGTGATTGTCCTACCTTAGCCTCTGAGTACCAGGGACCACAGCTGTGGACCACCACTCCCAGCTGTCTTTTTGTATTTTTAGTAGAGATGGGGTGTTCCCATGTTGCCCAGGCTAGCCTTGAACTCCTAAGCTCAAGCGATCCATCCCCCTCAGCCTCCCACAGTGCTAGGATTACAGGTGTGAGCCGCTGCACCCTGCCAACAGTTTTTCTTTTCCCTAGTTACTCTTTAATCTGTCATTAAGTGTTTTGCTTCCACCACCGTACCAGTTTATGAAAGTCAGAGAAAATGAAAATAAATTCTGCCTATTTACCACTGCCTATTCTTTTTGTTTTTGTTTTTGTTTTTGTTTTTGTTTTGAGACATAGTCTCACTCTTTCACCCAGGCTGGATTGCAGTGGTGCAGTCTTGGCTCACTGCAATCTCCACCTCCCGGGTTCAAGCCATTCTCCTGCCTCAGCCTTCTGAGTAGCTGGGATTACAGGCGTGCACCACCATACCCAGCTAATTTTTGTATTTTTAGTACAAATGGAGTTTCACCATGTTGGCCAGGCTGGTCTTGAACTCCTGACCTCAAAGCATCCACCCGCCTTGGCCTCCCAAAGTTTTGGGATTACAGGCATGAGCCACCGCACCCAGCCGCCACTACCTATTGTTAGCCGTGCTGGGAAGAAAGCTGAAGATGTGTTAAAATGGCATTTGGGGATTGCCTGTCTTGTGTATTCTTACTTTCCGTTTACAGAAGTAACCTCTCGCTTTCTCAATTTTTAGGCCTTTTCTGATGCCATGAAAAAATGTCTGGAGCTATCACCAGAAACCGGTGGAAAAAGGAAGAAGAGAAAAGAAATGAACCAGTATTCTTACATCGATTTCAAGTTTGAACAAGGTAATGTAAACTGTGTTGCTGGCAGTGTGTAGCTGCAACACTGTATCTTTTCTTCTTCACAGTCAGTGAAGGAAGCCGTGCTACAGGTGTCTGCCATCTGCTGAGCATCTGTCCAGGCCAGTCCAAGGAGTGACTCAGGAACTATTTTCTAAGCACATCAAAATTTTCAGAAAGTGGCTGCACTTGTTGGCTTCCTTCTTCCTACTTAAGATAAACCATGGCAGGAAAATTTTGTGTGGTAGAAAATTCATGTGTGAGAAAGTATTTGAGTATGCTGTTAAGCTTGGGGAGAAAACTGGTCTTGAAGGTTTGATGAAAATTGGCTGTGTTGTTAGGTAAAAACTGCCCAGACTTATGAATGAGGCCTTACTGCAGAGGGTCACTTATGCAACTGAGAGAATGGCCAATAGCCACATGTTTCTCCAAAATTCTGTCATTCTTATTGATGAAATAACTGCTGAAAACCCTTTCGAAGAGGTTACTTCAGGTCTCATCCCCAGAAATGTAAACTTGAGTTTTATAACAACTCAGATTTTATCTGAGTTGCTTCTACCCAGTAAAGGAGTTACTACAACTTTTCTAGAGATCATCCCTTTCTGTTATGTGTGCACTTAATTACCACACTTGATTTCAGGTATGACTAAGTGGAAACTCAGGTGACTATATAAAGCTGGAAAGTATTTGTATTTGCTTTTTATTTATTTATTTTTTTTGGAGACGGAATCTTGCTGTGTCACCCAGGCTGGAGTGCTGTGGCGCGATCTCAGCTCACTGCAAGCTCTGGTTCCTGGGTTCACACCATTCTCCTGCCTCAGCCTCCCAAGAAGCTGGGACTACAGGTGCCTGCCACCACGCCCAGCTAGTTTTTTGTATTTTTTAGTAGAGACGGAGTTTCACCATGTTAGCCATGATGGTCTCGATCTCCTGACCTCGTGATCCACCCGCCTTGGCCTCCCAAAGTGCTGGGATTACAGGCGTGAGCCACCGTGCCTGGCAGTATTCGTATTTACTATGAACTTTTCAGGATCTAAAAGCAAATCCCTTAGGCTATGACTCCTGAGGTTCCTAAGCCAGTCTGTGGAGCAGTGCCCTGCTGACATGACATTCTCCTGGCCTGTGGCAGAATGTAGAACTAGGGGCACTGTGCAGGTGGTTTTTCATTCATCCAAATTTACCCACAGTCCAGAACAGGCATCCTTGTACATAGCCATACAGCGTTTGTTTCTGTCTTCAGTGGTGGAGAAAGTGCTACGTTGCAAGATAGTTGACTCCCTTGTTGGTCAGCTCCGTCTTTCAGACAGTTCTTCCTTTGTATTAAGTCAGCATGTACTTCCTGAAGTTTCCAGCCGTGGTTGTAGTTCTTGCCTATGGAGAGACAGATTCTGGCTGTTACCCCTTCGTCAGCCTGACTGCTCTTCTCCCTGTCCCTACGTGCCCTTCTCTAGCTTGTCAGGGTCTTTTTGAAAGTTGGGGTGTAGAAGACTGGACATCATACTCCACATGAGGTCTGCTCACATTCAGCCTTGGTCTTTTCACCCACATTGCTGTCAGGTCATATTACTCTCTCAGTTTCGCTGCATCTCACATTTTTCCCTGTTACCTTCATTTTATTTGATTCAGTCCCTTGTTTTAGGTATAGCACTTTAATTTAGATGCTGAGTCTTAAATTTAATTATCAGATAATCTTTAAGGACCCTGTAAGTATGAGATAAAAATTACATTAGATTTATGTTAGTAGTTTAATGTCTATGACTCATACTTAGCCTTTTTTAACAGCTTTTTATAAGGACACAGGCTAAGAATCCCTTATCTGTTCCAGGCATCCCATTTTTTTCCTATTCAGTTTGTTTTCCATCTAAGCACTGCTCTTTGGACTATAATTGCTTGACTCAGAGTGAGACAGGGTCTCCCTCCTCTGTCCTTTTTATGGTCCTTCAGGAAAATAAATTAGAGGGAAGTGTATAGACTTAATCGCATTTATTTTTAAAAATAAAGGACTGAGGCCAGGCGCAGTGGCTCACGCCTATAATCCCAGCACTTTGGGAGGCTGAAGCAGGCGGATCACAAGGTCAGGAGATCAATACCATCCTGGCTAACACAGTGAAACCCCATCTCTACTAAAAATACAAAAAAATTAGCCAGGCGTGGTGGTGGGCACCTGTAGTCCCGGCTACTCGGGAGGCTGAGGCTGGAGAATGGCGTGAACCTGGGAGGCAGAGTTTGCAGTGAGCCAAGATCACGCCACTGCACTCCAGCCTGGGTGACAGAGCAAGACTCTGTCTCTAAAAAAGTAAATAAATAAAATTAAAGGACTGAAAATAAATCTTACTACTTTAACATGATAAACTACAAAAAGAACTGAGTAAAGACAAAAGAAATAATAGAGGGTGGAATTTTTTTTTAATTTGTAGCATTGATAATTATAATAACTAACATTTATTTAGCACTTAATATGTACCAGTCACTTTTCTAAGTGCTTTAATGGATTAATTCATTTATGTTTCAAATAACCTTATGAGATGTATGTGCCATTATTATCATTTTGTAGAAAAAAAACTGAAACACAGAGAGGTTAAGTAACTTGGCACATGTTACACAGCTAGCGAGTAGCCGAGCTGGGAATCTGGCTTCAAAGCTTACTCTCTAATCATGTGCTTTTCTATTCTCATAATACCAAAAACTGGTTTTGTTTTGTTTTTAATTTTGAGACGGAGTCTGCTTCCCAAGCTCAAGCAGTTCTCCTGCCTCAGCCTCTCAAGTAGCTGGGATTAATTACAGGTGTGTGCCATCACGCCTGGCTAATTTTTGTATTTTTAGTAGAGACGGGATTTCACCATGTTGTACAGGTTGGTCTTGAACTCCTCACCTCAGATGATGTGCCGTCCTTGGCCTCCCAAAGTGCTGGGATTACAGGCGTGAGCCACTGCGCCTGGCCCCAAAAACTGGTTTTCTGAAGAAAAAGTTTGAATTAAAAAAAATGTGAGAATGAGCAAGAGAAAAGGAGAATCAAAATAAAATGTATTAGGAACCAGATAGTAAATGTTAAAATCAAGAGATTACCAAGAAAAGACAAGAGTACATTGAAAATCTGGATGAGATAAAGTTTTCTAGGAAAATATAAATTGGTCAGGCATTGTGGCTCACACCTGTAATCCCAGCACTTTGGGAGGCCAAGGCTGGTGGCTGGGAGGCCAAGACTGGTGGATGGTTTGAGCCCAGGACTTCAAGACCAGCCTGGACAACACGGGAAAAATCCCATCTCTAAAAAAATACAAAAAAATTAACTGGGCGTGGTGGCATCTGCCTTTATAGTCCCACCTCCTTAGGAGGCTGAGGCGGGAGGATCACCTGAGCCCAGGAGTTGAGGCTGCAGTGATCTATGAATGTGCCACTGCACTCCAGCCTGAGCAACAGAGCGGGGCTCTGTCTCCAAAAAGAAAATCATAATTTGCCAAATCAGCAAAAGAAATACAGAACCTAAACAGATCAATTATATGTCTGATATTTGTCATTCTGCTTTCTTTTATTCTCATGTTATAATATATTGTGGTGAATCTAGGTACTATTCCTTCCACCCCTTATATATTTGAATGCTTTCAAAATAAAAATGGTTGAAAAACATATGGCACATTTGCACCCATCAGAATGGCTAAAATTAAAAACCGATGATAGGTGTTGTAAGGACGTGGGAGAGGCTGGAACTCACATGCATTGCTGATGGAGGAAGGGTGTAAACTGGTACAACCACTTTGGAACACTGGCATTATTTTCTAAAGCTGGAAGTAAGCCTATCCCATGATCTAGCAATTCCCAGCTAAATTGCGGACGTACATTCACCAACACATGGCTATAAGCAGCACTATTCAGATTAACCCAAAACAGTAAACCCAAATGTCCTCAGTAGTGAAATAGATAATAAATTGTGGTACATTCACATAGTACACTAGTGACAGAATAGGAGATGCCTTCCAATTGGAGCGTAAAGAGAGGGAAAGAACCAGAAAGGTCAAAAAATGGATAGTAGGTTGGCAAATGGTAAGAAACCCAGTCTTCCCAAATGGTAGAGTGTGATAGAGAAGTCATGAAACGAACCGCCAGAGAGAAGAGGGAGGATGAGGCCGGGAAGAATGGACATGGCTGGCCCAGATTCCTAACACACAGTTGTCTGCATGCTTTTGCATTGTCGTATATCTTCTAGGTGACATAAAAATAGAAAAGAGGATGTTCTGTCTTGAAAATAAGCGACGACATTGTAGGTCCTATGACCGGCGTGCTCTCCTTCCAGCTGTGCAACAAGAGCAGGAGTTCTATGAGCAGAAAATCAAAGAGATGGCAGAGGTAGGAAGATGTGCTCTGGTCTTGGGGTGTGTTTCTGGGATTCTGGTTTGCTCTTAGGGTTTAGTTAGTACAAAACTGTCTTTTAAGATTTCCCTTTTCTTCAGAGTGGTGAATTTGGATATATGCAAAGTTTATAAAAAGAAAAAACCTGGGTTTTGTCATAATACTTATGTTTTTGGTTTCATAAATCAGATTTATGTTAGAAAATTTTAATTGGTGCTCTGTGTATCTATTTTACCTCCTCCACCAGCCTCAGTTCCATTTCGCTCTTTAATTTTTCTTAATACAGTATCAAATGTGCAAGTCAGCTGGAATGTATATATTGATTGTTTAATAAGTATCTTCTAAACCAGTGGCTCCCAAAGTGTGACCCAGAGATCCCTGGGTTTCCCAAGACTCTCTTGGGGGTCTACGAGGTCAAACCTCTTATAACTATACTAAGACATTACAGTGACCCTTGAACAACATGAGAGTTAGGAGTGCTTCCCCCTGTGCAGTTGAAAGTCTGCATATAATGTTTGATTGCCCCAAAACTTCACTGTGAACAGCCTGCTGTTGACAGGAAGCCTTACCCATAACAGTCGATGAACACGTTTGGTATGTTTTGTGTATTACATGCTGTATTCTTACAATAAGGTAAGCTAGAGAAAAGAAAATGTTATTAAGAAAATGATAAGGAAAATATATTTAGTATTCATTAAATGGTAGTGTGGGTCAGCATGAGAAGGTCTTTATCTTCATGGTCTTCACGTTGAGTAGGCTGAGGAGGAGGGGTGTGCTGGTTTTGCTGTCTCAGGGGGCAGAAGCAGAAGAAAACAAGCACATAAGTGGGTCCCCACAGTTCACACCTCTGTTGATCAAGGTCAGCTGTATTTGCTTTTTCACCATATTGAATTTGTACCAGCAGAAGCAAAGCAGTGGTGCCTTGGCATAAATCAGACCAGTGGCATAGAGCCATCCTCATAATCTTTGTTTTCTTCACCACCATGCGCTTACATTTTTAAGACACACCAGTTTCACCTAAAAATGTCTTTGATAAAGCAGTAAAAATTATTTTACCAAATTTTGACCCTTGAAAACATCTTTTCAATATTCTGTGTAATAAAATGAAGTCTTCATAAAGTGCTTCCGCCACATCCCAGGATATGAAGCTTGTCTTATATCCAGGTATGAGGAGAGTGCTTGTGCAATTGAGACGCAAAGCAGCTGCATTGGCCACTTTTTACTTGGAAAAAAGTGACAGAAAAACTGTGATTATTCAAAATTAGGTATTTGGCAGGCGTTTTCTCAAAAATGAATGAAGTGATTATTTTTGACCAAAATTCTAGATTTTAAGCAGAAATTAGAATTTATTATCTTAATCTGTTACAGAATAACATTCATTAATATCACCAATCTTATTAGATTAAGTATTTTTCCATAAAATAAGGAAAGATAAACCGAAGACTAACAATAATGGTTATATATAAACAAAGTGGGGGGCCAGGTGCAGTGGCTTACGCCTATAATCCCAGCACTTTTTTTCTGTTTTTTTTTTTTGTAGAGCCTGGATTTCCCCATGTTGTCCAGGCTGGTCTTGAACTTCTGGCGTCAAGCCATCCTCCCGACTCAGCCACCAAAACTATTGGGGTTATAGGCACGTACCACCATGCCCTGCTAACTTTGTTTTCTTTTCTCTGATGCTAAAAGTCTTGGTTCTTAATAACATTATTGTCAGATTATATCTGAGAATATAAAATTCAAATATCTTAAAGTCACTTGAAGTAAGTCTTGGTGCTTGTGCCATTAACTTGATAAACAAGTTTATTTGTTTCTGGCTAGGCATGGTGGCTTATGTGTGTAATCCCAGCACTTTGGGAGGCCAAGGCAGCCGATCACTTGAGGCCAGGAGTTCAAGACCAGCCTGGCCAACATGGCAAAACTCTGTCTCTACTAAAAATACAAAAATTAGCTGGGCATGGTGGGACATGCCTGTAATCCCAGCTACTTGGGAGGCTGAGGCACGAGAATCGCTTGAACCTGGGAGGTCAAGGTTGGTTGCAGTGAGCCAAAATCATGCCACTGCACTCCAGCCTGGGCAACAAAGCAAGACTGTTTCAAAAAAAAAAAAGTTTATTTCTTTCTGTTTATTTTGAACTTTTAGAGAATTGGTTTTGTTTTTTTAACTAATTTTGTAAAAAAAAAAAATTTAGTTCTGAAATCAAAACTATAAAACAAGGAATATTCAGAAAAATCTAGCTTTTGTGCTATCCTTTTCTCCCACTTTCCTTTGTTTGTTTTTTGAGACGGAGTCTCACTCTGTCACCCAGGCTGGAAGTGCAGTGGCAGGATCTCGGCTCACTGCAACCTCTGACTCCTGGGTTCAAGGGATTCTCCTGCCTCAGCCTCCTGAGTAGCTGGGATTACAGGCACACGGCACCATGCCTGGCCAATTTTTGTATTTTTAGTAGAGACAGGGTTTCGCCACATTGACTAGGCTGGTCTCAAACTCCTGACCTCAAGCGATCCATCCAGCTTGGCCTCTCAAAGTGCTGGGATTATAGGCGTGAGCCACTGCACCTGGCCCCCCACTTTGTTTATATATAACCATTATTGTTAGTCTTTGGTTTATCTTTCCTTATTTTATGGAAAAGCAAATATGTATATTTTTATTTACCCATCTTTCTTTTCCAGATAGTAGCAGAGTTTTCCAGGCATATTAACTCACACCTGTAGTCCCAGCTACTCGGGAAGCTGAGGCGGGAGAATCTCTTGCGCCTGGGAGGTTGAGGCTGCAGTGAGCCAGGATCATACCACTGCACTCCAGCCTGGGCGACAGAGTGAGACACTGTCTCACAAATAATTTAATGTAATCCCAAATGGTGGCAAACTCTTCTGTGACTGCATTTTTCGTTTAACCATGCATCCTGGCAATCACTCTATGGCAATTCATAGGGTTTTTTCTCTTTCCTTTTTGAAACTGGCTGGTATACCATTTTATGTAATACCACCGTTTATTCAGTCATTCCCCTGTTGATAGACGTTTAGGATTGTTTCCAGGTTTTCGTGATTATAAATAGCACCATGATAAGTTTATGCATACATCATTCCCTGTTTCTGCCCAGGTGCATCTTTGGACTAGACTCTTGGAAGTGGCATTGATGACTCTGTACCAGTGTCCCGCCAGTGTGGTTGTCCTGCTTTGCATTTTCACCAGTAACGTGTGAGGGTGCCTACTACCACACAGCCTCACCAACGAAGTCTATTGTCAACATAGTTTTCGTTTGTTTGTTTGTTTTTTGAGACAGAGTTTCACTCTTGTTGCCCAGGCTAGGGTGCAACAGGGCGATCTCAGCTCACTGCAACCTCTGCCTTCCGGGTTCAAGTGATCTTCCTGCCTCAGCCTCCCAAGTAGCTGGGATTACAGGTGTACACCACCATGCCCAGCCGATTTTGTATTTTTAGTAGAGACGGGGTATCTCCATGTTGGTCAGGCTGGGCTCAAACTTTTGATCTCATGTGATCTGCCTGCCTCAGCCTCCCAAAGTGCTGGGATTACAGGCATGAGCCATCCCGCCCAGCCAAACTTAGTTTTTATTTGTTCAGTTTATTTTTGTTGATGCTATTCTTTGCTATTCAAAGTGTTTTATGTGTCAACCTTTTCCCTTATTTATTCTACATTTTGAGTCATACTGAAGAAAAATTGTCCTGTATTTTCTAGCTCTCTCGTCCACTTACAGTTTATTCATAGGTAACTTTTTGAACTGCTAAACTGTGTAATCGAAGAGATCACAATACTGGAGTTATGTTTATGGAAATGAATACTAAATGGTTAATGTCATTTTTACTAAATTTGTGTCTGAGTGTGTGCTTTTTCTGTTCTTCAGCATGAAGACTTAGCTTGCCCTGCAGATGAATGAAGAATAGTATCAAAAGGTAGTTTGAAATCTCACTTTGTTTATTCTGGATATTTTCATGGGCTGTTTTCTCTTACCATGTTTTGTCAGCATTTTTGATGGCAAATTTGTTTTTGGATAACCTCCTGTTGATTTGCCAAGTTTGCAGTTCAGCCAAGTTATAGTCAGATACATGATCTAATGTAGTCACTCTTATATCACACTGAATCAGAATTGAAGGGGAGATAATAGATGTTCCCGTTAAAAATCATTACCTGACTTTCATTAGATAGACTCATAAAGGAAAGTTTACAACTTAGATATCACTTTAGAGTTAAAAGAAAGAGATATGTCTAACCTCAGGATAAGATGGGTTTCTGTATGGTGTCTGCCGCCCTCATACAGTGAGTTTTCTTTTTCTTTTTTTTTTTTTTTTTCCAAACAGCGTCTTGCTCCGTCACCGAGGTTGAAGTGCAGTAACGCTTTCTTGGCTCACTGCAACCTCTGCCTCCTGGGTTCAAGCGATTCTCCTGTCTCAGCCTCCCGAGTACCTGGAACTACAGGCATGTGCCACCATGTCCAGCTAATTTTTGTATTTTTAGTAGACACAGAGTTTCACCATGTTGGCCAGGCTGATCTCAAACTCCTTACCTCAGGTGATCCACCCATCTCAGCCTCCCAAAGTACTGGGAACAGCTGTGAGCCACTACGCCCAGCTAGTGACCTTTTCTAATGTGGCATTAAGAATGGGTTAGTGGCCGGGCACCCTGTCTCGTGCCTGTAATCTCAGCACTTTGAGAGGCTGACATGGGAGGATTGTTTGAGCCCAGGAGTTCAAGACCAACCTGGTCAACATAGAAACACCCCATTTCTAATAAAAATAAAAAATAAATAAATAAAAGAATGGGACTGGATGCAGTGGCTCATGCCTGTAATCCCAGCACTTTGGGAGGCCAAGGTGGGCAAATCACAAGGTTCGAGACCAGCCTGGCCAACATGGTGAAACCCTGTCTCTACTAAAAATACAAAAAATTAGCTGGGCGTAGTGGCGGGCGCCTGTAACCCCCACTACTCGGGAAGCTGAAACAGGAGAATCACTTGAACCTGAGATGTAGAGGTTGCAGTCAGCCAAGATCGCACCACTGCACTCCAGCTTGGGCAACAGAGTAAGACTCCGTCTCAAAAAAAAAAAGAATGAGTTGGTGATTGGATCCGTTGCTATAGTTAATAAAAGGAGTCAATAGCCTGGTACATTACTTGAGGTTGCTGCTTTAGTTATAGCTTCAATAGTCCCTTAAAATAAAGCTCAGACTTGGATATGACCCGTTCACACTCTTTATGACAAGAACAAAATTCAACTTTTGAAAGCATTTTGGGTAACATCTCTCATGCCCCTTATCCTTGCTTTTTATAATCACATTAGCATCTGAGTGCAGATGTTCTAGTTCCCTTTGCACCATGGGATTGAATATGATAACTTTATACAAAGAATTACTCTAAAGAATACCAGACAAAACCCATGAAAACGTCGCTGGTTTAGGTATGGATTACTATTGTGCTAGTATCTTGAACTGGATTTATATAGCATGAAACAGCATATCATTGTTTTATGGCCCCTAAAATGGGTTGCTTTTTACCTCAGAATTTGTGGGGGGCGGTGGGAGAGAGATGAGGATGGGAGACAAGGCTCCCCCTCTGCTTAAGTGCAGGACATTTCATATGTGTTTCTTGACTGCCTTCAGGACAGCCAGCTGATTGAGTGTCGCTGCTGCTATGGGGAATTTCCATTCGAGGAGCTGACGCAGTGCACAGATGCTCACTTGTTCAGATACGCCAAAGGGGCAGTCTTTGGATCTGGAAAGGTAAGAACTGTGTAATATGTCCCATGTATGTAGGACACATTCCTGGAGTCTAAGGAGACCATGTTGATAGATAAGTGTAAGTGCCTCTTTCAGGGTGAGGTGGAATTCTGCTGGTGTGCTTATGTGTGCATTACCTGTTGTGTGTGATTATGTGGGTTCTCTAAGCACAGCAGATTTCTTTTCAGGTAGCAGTAGAATTCTTCCATGTCCCCATGCCTAGCTACAGAGGAGCACCCGCTTCACTCATCTTCTTATTCATAATCAGAGGGAAGCTTACCTCCGAAAGAGAGAACCTTGCAGCCTATTGGATTAAATATATGTTAAAATAACATAACTTACTTTACACAAGATCATATTTCTCTCTCCAAAGTCAGTTTCTCTGGACACCAGCATAACAAACACAGTATGGGAATTTTACATTGTTTTACACCACTAAGTTTGTGATATTTTGTTCCAGCGGCAATAGAAATCTAACACAGTGATTAAGAATATGACTTTTTGGGCTCACGCCTGTAATCCTAGCACTTTGGGAGGCTGAGGCAGGTGGATCACCTAAGGTCAAGAGTTTGAGACCCACTAGTCAACATGGTGAAACCCCGTCTCTACAAAAAATACAAAAATTACCTGGGCATGGTGGCTCACACCTGTAGTCAAGCTACTCAGGAGGCTGAGGTGGGAGCCACTGCATTTCAACCTGGGCA